TGAATTAGTGTTTTTTGAACCAGGATATCTTGAAATTCTTGACAGTTAATTTAATATTTTATAAACTTTTCATCGAGATGAGCTGTATTATTTTCACATTTTTATCACATGTGGACAGATATAAAAAAAAAAGCATGTGATTTTTAATCCCATGTAAAACTATAATTCATAAAATGTTATCCCTCTATATTTTTTATAACTCTTGCTCTTTTCAATGAAGAACACGGATGGAGGCTAAAATGCTACGGAAGTCTGTTTTGGTGTAAACTGTCAAGGTCTGTCCATATGAGTACACTTGTGGCATAACTGCTGCTGGTTTTTGATTGCCAGCGTAAATTCACAATATGCAGAGGATGTAAATCTGAGTTTTCTCATGTTCAGCTTTTTTGTCCACGATGTGAATGAACAGCCAACAGATGACTGAATTCTTATCGCATGTCATAATCAGAAAAAAACTTCTTGTTTACACTTTTCAGCATGGCATTGGAACTGTATAGCAATAAGTTTTTATTTAGTGCAATTTGTAATTGTCCACATCATTAAAATCATCAGCACTGTTTATGGCATTCTAAATTCTCTCAAACCATATACTGGTAGAAATTTCAAATTCTCATTAAAGGGGAACGAACAACTGCGTATTTTATAAAGCAATGATCCGAGCAGTATATTTATATACTTAACCTGTATGTAACACTGTAAGCAACAGAAACCTAAATAAGTAAAATTCCTATGAAATAAAATTCTCTGCCTCACAAAATTCTCCCTAATTATTACAATTTTTTGCTATTTCATGCGGAACAAGAAACTCTATAAGTATCTCAAAACACTTTTAAAATAAAGCAGTAGATTGTGAAAAAGTATTCAATAAAATACAGCTACGAAATTTTCATGGACAATTACAACTGGGCCATATAGCACTCATTTATTGAATATTAATTAAATTACTGTTTCAGTGACTTCTATTATTTTTCCTCAGAACAACTGTCACAGTTAGCTAAGTGGTCAGCCGGCTGGATTGCAAGGAAAATGGTCACAAGTTCTGACAAGTTTCTCATAACCACTGTTAAATTCAAAGTCTTTTTCCAACTCTGGGAATTTCAGTTTATCAACAACTTTTCTTATTTTTTGAAACATGTTTCTTATATTTAATTGAGAATCATTTTAATCTTATTTTATTTATTATTTTTATTGTTTTTCAATTCTAGTTTAAAAATAAGCACTGCAGAGAAAAGCAGTAATGCATTATGTAATGACATATTTGCACCTCTGATATAAATAAACTCTCTTCCCCCCTTTTTACCTTATTGCATATTTTATTCTGTAGATACTTTTACATATACTAGCTAAAGTTTGAGTCTCCTCCTAAATTCTAAAATAAAAAATATACAACAACAATAAAATTATTTACATATTAATTTGGCAGCACCAAAGTCATCACAACTTCCAACTGATAATAAATATTCTGTTTTAAGCCAGCAAAGATATTTAGTGTCAAAAAGAAACAATAAAAACACGATTTGATAAGACAAATAATGAATTAAATCACTGAATGTTTAGAATAAAGAGAATTATTACTATAGAATTACCAGAAAACTTTAATATTACATAAATATTTCAATCATCCCCGAATATCTTGTATATTTAACTAAAAGAAAAATATTTAAAGAATTACAACTACCTTTCCTAAGAAAACTTCTAACAGAATTAATGCAAATGAAGAAGCTGTTATTTATGTCTGATATTTACATGGCATAACTATTTTAGCAGAGTTGTGTTTTACTTTAATTGCAAACATATCAATTCTAAAATATTATTTAAAAAATTAATACAGAAACTGGTGGCATTTCAATTTATAGAAATTACCAATCACTTGAGTAATTGAAATACTACAAATCAAAATGTAATACTTAACATATTTGCAATTTTTACATAAAAAGGAACATTTACTTCTTTTATACAGAAAAATTACTTAATTGTAATCTTTTGCTGTGAAAGTAATTTTCCCTATAATCCATTAATTTTAATTTACAACACATAAATTTTATTGGATGACCATTTTTTCTTTTAATTTATATATATACAGAATACTCAAATTATAAGACACTTTATTTAGTACACAGATTCCTTTACATTTACTCCCACACCACACATAACCCACCAAGCCAATAGAGGGGAGAAAGAACTATTAAAAAAAATATGATGTTGATTTTATTATATGGTGGATGGTGTTTCAAGATATTTAATTCTCTTTACTATATTTCAAAATTTTATAAATCTTAATTTGCAATGAAATTTACTTGTGTATATAATACCTATTTAATCTTATCCTGTGTTGTTAAATATCTTAATAAACAGAATTTCACAATAAAACGAACTGAGTGTGACACTCTTCTGACCAGACTATGAAGCATCAGATTTGCTTTATGCTTGCAGCCTTCTAGAAGTGTCATGTGATTATCCCCCCCCCTCTCTTCAACAATTCTATTAGCTAAATGCAGACTTTGCTCATGTCTTTGTTTGGAGCACTTTTCACCAGCGACATGCGTGAATTTTATAATTTAAGTCTCTAGCATAGTCGTGTCAGCACACTTTCACAGTGATGAGTCAGTCCTTCACAGTGAAATAAAAAGCAAAAGACAAAATTATGCAGTGGAAAATACTCAGTTTTTTAGGTCCTCTACTGAAATTATTTCTTTTTTTAAGACATAAAGATATTTTATATGACACAAGAGAAAAGTACAATGACCAGTCCTATATACTGCACTGTGTTTCAAAACGAGGACATGTAACGTGAAATGTAGTAAAATTTTCTGAAACAGAATTGCCATATCATATATTATGAAAATGCAACACTATGCATAGGATTAATATTCTCATGCAGGAGTTGGAGTGGTAGTCACAATGCAACACTTATACTTGGCTGTACTACACATTACTTTTCCAGTCTTGGTTTAATGAATTGCAATTATTATCTCTTCAGCACACTTAATGAGGCTGTGCATAATGCTGGTAATGAAAGCAAAGGAGTTAAGATACTCTTGGATTCAGAAGCATGGAGAAAAGTTTTTCACTCATGGAGTAAGAATCTAATTGGATAATACAAGAAATGGACCAACTTGCAAATGGCTGAGTGAGACTATGATATAACCATCATAATCTGTCTTACAATTAAAACAATAAAAAATAATGTGCTGCCTTTACTTTTTAATTTACCTCATATATAAAAAAGGTGGAAGGCTATAGTCAACAAAACCTCAAATAGGCATGTAGTAAATTGAAAATGAAAATGATAAAATATTTTTCTGCTATGCATCTGCCATGCATTTTGGCAGTATTTTTAATTGTAAATACACAATTAAGTATGTTAAATTAAATACACACACATATACATACACAGATAGTTTGGTCCATGGTTGGCACTATCATTAGATCTCAACATACTTGGCTTCTCTGTTTACAGGAGCCGCAAACATGGCAGGTGCATAACAGAAATGTATCCATAAAAGTATTTACAATATAAAACACAGTATGAAATAACTTAAAGAATGGTTTTTATTCTGCACTAAAATGTATCAACAAATGGAAAAAGAGGAAATTGAAACTTACATCTTTTTCTGTTTTAAGACTCTCATAGCTTTCTGTTTAACCATATTCTGCAAGACAAAAAAGATGTAACTAAATTTTGAATCCATTTCAAGCTTTTCTTATTATCTGTACACACACACACAAAAGGGAAAAAAACAAAAAGAAAGAAAAAATCACTTACTTTAGCCGGTCCTTCTCTCATTTTTTTCATCTGATCTTTATATTTTACTAATTCTGCTTCCAGCCGTGCTATCTTCTTATCTATGGATTCAGCTCTGCTATCAACCTATGTCAGAAAAATAATTATAAAATAAAAATAATACATTATTTTTTTAAAAAAATGGCGATATAACATCTGCAATAGTTATTTAATTTTTTAAATGAAAAGTAATTATCATTTAAAGTAGCATGTGTCTATACGTTACTCCTCTGATTTCAAAAAATACCATTTACACCTAACTTTAAGTGGTACAAAGATCCACAAAAACTTTGGGTGCTTAAATATTATCACCACCTTAGTAGAAGTCACAGAATATTTACAATGTTCCAAATTTTGGCAACCATGCACATTACAATTCTTCAGCAACCATACTTACATCATTTCTTCAGTTCAGCAATATCACCATATTCATATGCATTCTTTCTGTCGCACTCAAAGTTTCATTTTATAGACAAATTGTAATTTTTACTTTTTTAGTTTAATCGCAATTGCATAATTAAGCTCAATTTTAAAATCTGTGCTTCAAGAATTTGCCCACACAGGATGAAACCAAGCAAAAAATTTCTGCAGGAATCCAGTATTTTACAGCATAATCATTAAAGGAAACTGACGTATCCATGCAATTTAATCATGCATCTAACTGTACTTACTTGACGGATTATATGTAATGTAGAACTGTTAAGTATTTGATGTATTTAAGAATTATGGCAATGAATACCCAAGAACATCACAAATGCATTCTAACAACTAATGCTTATACAGTATCTGGCCATTCATCACTGGAGTGCTTGGAATCGTCTGAATACGTGACACTAGCTATAAAAGGTGTTGCCAGTTTCAGATACCCCGATCGACAATAAGCGATGTTATCGTGAAGTGGAAGCGGGAGGGGGTCATGACATGTCGACTCAGACCAACTAAACAGAAAATATTAACACATCATTACCATCGAAGCTTGAAACATGTGGTGAAGTCAAATAGGAAGGCATCGCTACAGATGGTGGCACAGGAGTTTCGATCAGCTTCCAAGTGATCCTACTGTCTGCCAGGAGATCATCGCACTTAATTCCCATGGTCGTGCAGCAGTTCACAAGCCACTTATCCCAGCCCACAATGCAAGCCATCGTTTACAGTGGTGCAAGGAACGCCGCCATTGGACTCTTTACCAATGGATATCCGTCTTATGGAGTGATGAATCATGCTACCAGCTGCAGTGCTCCGATGGATGTGTGTGTGGGTGTAGCGTATACCTGGAGAAAGATGTTTACAAGCATCTATCGTACCCAGAGTCAAATTCGGCATCATGGTGTGGTCGTGTTTCTCATGGTGGTATTGGTCCTCTTATTTTAGTGCCGGGCAAAATGAATTCCGATGCATACCAAATAGTTCTGGACAATTATGCACTACCAACATTGCGAGCACAATTCGGTATTGGTCCACATCTGTTTCAGCAAGACAATGCTCCATGTCATACTGCAGGTGTTACAAACACGTGGTTCAAGGACATGGGTGTGCAAAATCTTGACTGTCCAGCCCAAAGTCCTGATATCAAACCTTCAGAGCATCTTTGACACGAGTTGGAGTGCCGCTTGAGAACCAGGCCATGTCACCCAAAAACACTAGAGAGCTATTCACCGCTTTGTAAGAGAAATGGAGAAAGATTCCTGTCAAAACCTATCCCAAGTTGGTGGAAAGTCTTCCTCAAAGGGTTGTGGATGTAACTGCAGCCAAAGGTGGCCCTACACGATACTGATGGACTGCTAAAACCGAATTAATGTACTATTTAGGGGTGTCAGGTGACGAATGGCCAGATAGTGCATATTCATGTAGCTAACACATTCATGTAATATCATCCAGGTCCCTGTTTGTTCATTTGGCTTCACAGAGAAGCAAATACATTCCCGAGGCAGGCCTCCTGGGAATCGAGCGATCTGCCGGTTCTAGATAGTGGAGGGCGTGGGACCCTTTATTAGACACCAGATGTCCCTGTCCTCTAGCACCCATTAAAGTGACTGCCATGAAATTTTCAGCAGAATAAAAGAAAAAAAAAACATTTGTAAATAGATTTATTGAATGATTCTGGGGATAAGTATATAATTAGAATGAAATGTATACATGTAAAGAAGTAAATCTTTGCAACTCAAATTAATGACAGCTCATCATTCTCGTTTCATTTGTAAAAAACTGCAAAATTGCACCAAGATGATTGCGTTAGTATGCAAGTACCAAATTTTGCTTGTGACTTGCAGATCGAGTATCATTACAACATTAAAAAATGTTTTTCATAAAAGCTGCACTCAAAAAAAAAAAAAAAAAAAAAAAAAAGGAAAAAAAGAATTAAAAATTAAAACATTAAATAACTTAATTAAACGGAACATAGAATAATCATGTCTTCATGTCACACTTTAATCTTCATTCGACGAAACAAAGTTAGCTTCATTTATCCCTATGTTTTCGGCCTCAGTTGCCTCCAAACTAGCCTGATGAAGTTAAAAAATTCTCATCTCAACACACTAAAGCCACCTCTTTTTTAGTAGATTATAAAAATTCTTTGTCATTCCCTTCTTTCCATCATTAGCTATAAAGGTGCACATATTTTGCAAAATTTAACTTTCGGGTTGTTTTTTCGCCCTCAATAAATTCAACTCTATACAGGCCCCCTCCGGATATGATTCCTGGGGTTTTTATAGATTCTGCCACGTGTTAATTTACATGGCCAAACTATGAGAGCCTTAAAATTTCGTTCAAAGAACATGAGGCATAGTTAGAAAAGGAACCGAGGCTTCTGTTGCTCAACAGTTGGTCCGAAATCACACTTTCATTTTCTGTGCCAAATTATTCAAAAAACAGCTCCATTGGAGAACTGGATTTTCTAGAGGCATTTCACATTCATAAAAATCTTTCGTTCTAGTTAACGACCCTAATTCCAATCCAAATTGCCTTCGGCTTTGAGAAATTATGTTTTAGTTCTGTTTGCCAACAGATGGCGCACTTGCTTATTCTTGTCCAGCTTTCTTATCTTATCTAATCATTATTTCCTATCTGTTCATTTGCGGTTTTGCAGCTGAAGATGATGGTTCGGTAAAACCATCGAAACTAGTCCTGTGAAATTTTGTAGGTATAACGTGATTTTTGTTGTTTGACTTCGAATTAGTATTTATTCGGCGTGTTATTGTGTCTTAATTATAGAAGCCCCAAACAGGCTTACATTTGCTTTCTTTTTGCACGGGGTGTGCCGCCATTTTGTGATTGTAGGTTTTCGGTGAGGTACATTTTTTGCAATTTCAAGTTATGTTTATGTTTGTACATTTGGATATTGTGCTTTGCTTGTCTGATTTCATGCATTTTTGCTTACAACGTTTGTTTTCTATTCATTTCAGTGAGGGATTTTTCTGTGTTTTGGTACTTTATTATTGCTCAGTTAATTTTTTGATTTTCTGCATTGTTATCATGCCTTCATCCATTAATCGTTTCACTAAATTACGCCTGAAAAAGAGAGAGATTCCTGAATCATCATGACTTTCTACTTAAGTGTAAAATGTAAAAAATTGATCCACAATTTCATTCAAATCAAAAACCTTCCAGTCGCGTTTCAAGAATTGTGTTAAACTGCAAGCTAGCCTTACTTCAGTTCATCATAAGGGATACAGGTCAACAGTTATCCAAAATTGAATATGAGCTTTATAAGATTCATCTGGAACTCTGTAATTCATATCCAAAATTCACTGCCCTTGAACAAAAGTCTTGGTCTAGAATAGAGAATGCAATTAACCGTCATAAAAACACCCTTGCAGTTAAATTCGAACTTCTTTTACAATCTTCAGTTCAAGTAGTTCAAAAATCTTCCCATTGTAAACATCAACCAAAAGTTAATATTTCTAATGTTAGTCTTTCAAAGAACAAAGAGAATTCTAAAATGTATTTTAACTTCTCACAAACCTGTAACACTGTTCCAAAGATTTTTGGCTCCTATCGAAAAGCTTTCAAGTTCAGTAAATTTTCAGATTCACAGAAAGAAATGATTAGGCCATCTTATCGCTCATAATGTGAAATTCATAAAACCTTGAAACCAAATCTAACTGCGAGAGAAAGGCTACAATGCGAAATTGATTCTAACCCGGATATTATCATTTCAAAGCCAAAAGTGGCCAATAGTCGTCATGGATAAGACACTTACATCGATGGTGTCACTAAACTCTTAAACGAAGGACCATATCTCCGCCCTAAACATCCTCACCTTCGGACTTGTCAAAATAAAAACTTGGATCAATCTTCGCAAATCATTTCAAGCACTTAAAACATTCGCTTATCCCATCTGTTGCGAATTGTGCCAGATTATATGCTCTTCCCAAAATTCATAAAAGTGGTATTCCTTTCCGCCTTAGTATCAATTTAGGTACTGCCTCGTATCCTTTTAGCTAAATATTTTAGTTTCTAGATTTTCCCCTCATTAGACAATAACATTTACACCATAAAAATCATAGAGTTTGTAAAAAAAGGTTAAAAACTTTCTCCTAGTAATTACTCTCATGGTTTCTTTTGATGTAAATCATTATTCACCAATGCCCAGGGAGGGTTCATAAGATGTCTAGAAACCACTCGCGAATTTCATTTCTCTTGCACGAAATTGATGAGCTAATTTCTCTCACTCAACTCTGTTTGAAACCAACATTTTGTTTTCCAAAATAATATACAAAGCAAACTGAGGGATTAGCCATGGGAAGTCCCCTCATCCCATCCTGGCTGATATCTCATGCATTATTATGAATCAAAATTTTAAACTTTAAACTTCCCGGCCTGGTTCCGCTACGTAGACGATACATTACTTTACCCTGTTTGAAGGTAATAAAGAATTTAAATAAAGTTCTTCAACATGAATTCTAATTGATCCTGCTATTCAGTTCACTTTTGAACTTGAGACTGCAATTCTCTTCCGTTTCTCGACATTCTGGTCACACGTAACACATCAACTTCAGTACTACAGTTTACTGTAAACCTTCATCGTTGCCTTCCACCACACTTTAAATCATGTCATCCCGACTAACAAAATTAGCTTCATTTATTCC